GTCCAAATTAGCACTTGAATTTATATTATTCTCCAATCTATAAATAAGCTATTGACGGAGCGGAAGTACCGTTAATAACTGATAATGCAAAGGTAACGTTGAATTCTGCGAATGCCCGTTAACTTGCCTTCTTAAGTCCGTTGAATTCTCAAAGAATGCCCGGAAAATAAGGATCGAGAGTTGTGTAAAACAAAGCTCTAAGTTTTATAAAATCAAATATCCAAGTTAATTAAAAAGCAACAGAGAAGTTCTCTATATATAGGCTCGTATAAGAGTCCTATATTCCTAAACACAAAGCATAATGGAAATAAGTAAAGCCAACTAGAAAAAGGAAGTTAAGAGAAAAGGAAATCAAAAACTGAATGGTAATAGGAAGTATGCTGCATCAGGTCCCCTCCCGTACGAGCGATTCGTCCACGAATCCGGAGAGTAAGTCGTCATCAGGTTCATGCTTGAAGAGATGCTTGACGTTGAACACATCGGCGGTATGAACATCAGAAGGAAGACGCAGACGATAGGCATTAGCATTAACTTTCTCGAGAATTTGCAGAGGACCAATCTTACGAGGCTTTAACTTATTATAACGACCCACTGGAAACCGCTCTTTTGTTAACACTGCCCACACTTGATCACCAACCTGAAATTGTACTTCCCGACGACGCTTATCTGCAGTGCGCTTGTACTTGATTGCAATGCCAGCCAAGTTATCCTGAGCACGCGTATGGACATCGTGCAACGCATCTATAAGATCCACAGCTCGTCCATGAAACTCATCAGGCTGCGGAGTTGTAGTTAAAGCCAACGGTCCGCAAGGAGTCACACCATAAACAACTTAAACGGACTGTAACCCAAACTCCGATTATAAGCATGATTATGAGCGAACTCAGCTTGATATAAAACAGAATCCCATGACCGTAAATTATCACCCACCAAGCAGCGCAACATATTCCCCAAACTGCGATTAACAACCTCTGTTTGACTATCTGTTTGTGGATGATAAGCAGAACTCATCTTCAAAGAAGTCTTAAACAACTTCCAAAGAGAGCGCCAAAAATGGCTGATGAAACGCGAATCACGGTCGGACACAATAGACAGCGGCAGGCCGTGTAAACGGTAAATTTCCCGAAAGAAAAGAATAACGACTTGAACTGCATCCGTCGTCTTCTTGCAAGGAACAAAATGAGCCATCTTGGAGAATCGGTCGACCACAACGAAGATCGAATCATTGCCACGTTGGGTTCGGGGAAGTCCAAGGACAAAATCCATACTGATATCACTCCAGGGTTGAGTAGGAATAGGCAACGGGAGATAAAGACCAGCATTAGTCGCGTGCCCCTCACCCCTCTGGCACGTTGTGAAGCGAGCAACGAACCTCTCAACATCCCGGCGCAAAGTCGGCCAAAAGTATGAGGTCGTAACAAGCTCAAGTGTTCTATCGCGTCCAACATGACCTTCTTGATGCAACTCAGAGATAATCTGGAGATGGAGACTACACTCGGGAACACATAACCGGTTATCTTTAAAGATAAAACCATCAATGAGAGAGTAATCGGACCGTAAACCGTTAGCAAGATCCGTCAAAATAGAAGAGAAAAACGAATCTGCAGGGTAGAGTTCTGCGAAACACTCAAATCCAGCGACACTTACTCGCAATGTGGATAGCAACGCATGGCGACGACTTAAGGCATCAGCAACTTTATTAAGTTTGCCGGATTGATGCTTGATGACGAAGGTGAACTGTTGCAAATAAGCCGTCCAAGAAGCATGACGTGATGAAATCTTGTCTTGAGTTCCCAAGTACCGTAACGCCACATGATCGGTGAACAAAACAAACTCTTTATGGGCTAAGTAGTGACGCCAATGCTTGACGGCTTGAACTACTGCATAAAACTCGACGTCATAAGTACTATATCTAGCCCGAGCGCCAGCCATTTTCTCGCTATAGTAAGCAACATGACGGCCTTGCTGACTTAAGACCGCACCAATGCCAAGCTTGCTTGCATCGCAATGTAACTCAAACAGAAGATTGAAGTCAGGGAGCACCAAGATTGGGGCCGTTGTGAGTTTTGTTTTAATAAGCTCAAACGCCTGAGTTGCCTCCGGTGTCCATGTAAATGACGTGCTCTTCATACAATCCGTAATGGGGGCCATGATTGTGCTAAAATTATGCACAAACCGCCGATAGAAAGACGCCAACCCATCGAAACTTCGTACTTCGGTGATGGTAGATGGTACTGGCCAGGACGCGACTGCTGCAACCTTCTGTGGATCTACACGAAGACCTGCGGCTGAGACAACATAGCCAAGAAACAAGACCTCGGAGGCGCCAAACTCGCATTTTTGTTTTGCCACAAAAAGTTTTTCGCGACGGAGAGCTAGCAGAACGTCCCTGAGATGAACGAGATGGTCTTGAATTGTTGTACTGGAGATGAGGATGTCGTCGAAGTAGACAACGACAAATTTGCCAATAAACGGTCGGAAAGCTTGGTTCATAACACGCATAAACGTGCTAGGAGCGTTGGAAAGTCCAAATGGCATTACTAACCATTCGAATAAACCTTCTCGCGTCTTGAATGCCATTTTCCATTCATCACCCGGGCGTATACGAATTTGATGATACCCACTTTTAAGATCTAACTTGGTAAAGACGGAAGCTATACCGATTTGATCTAAGAGATCATCGAGACGAGGGATGGGAAAGCGATACCGAGTAGTAATCTTGTTGATGGCTCTACTATCAACACACATACGCCATGTCTTGTCTTTCTTAGGGATGAGCAAAGCTGGGACGGCACAGGGACTTAAGCTTTCGCGGACATATCCCTTGCTTAACAATTCCTCAACTTGGCGCCGCAACTCTTCATGTTCTTCAGGACTCATTCGATAGTGTGCACAGTTGGGTAAGACTGCGTTGGGCACAAGGTCAATGTGGTGTTGAATGTCCCTCAGTGGCGGCAATCCTGCCGGGAGCTCGTCCGGGAAGAGATCATCGAACTCTTGCAGCAAGGACTCAAACACCGGTGGAGAAGGAACACTATGTGTAGGTGTCGGTGTGACAGCAACCAAAGCAAAAAGGGGTTTGGTTTCCGTCAACTCACTTTCGAACTGAGATTTCGAAATAATCAATAGATTTTGCTTCGGAGTTGCAGGTGGTTTGGTTGTGGTAGTGGTAAGGTCACTTTCCGGGGATGGGAGTCACGTAATCTTGCGGCCTTGAAATAGAAACGAGTTAGTGTTTGTTTTCCCGTTGTGGATTACTTCTCTATCGTATTGCCACGGTCGTCCTAAGATGATGTGAGATACGTCCATGGGAGCGATATCGCAATAGATATCATCTTTGTAGAATGACCCAATTGAGAGGGAGAGTAGGGTACGCTGCGAGACAAATACTTCAGCTCCAGTTTGCATCCAAAGAAGGCGGTAGGGATGTGGGTGAGCTTCGGGTTTGAGAGAAAGTTTTCGTACCGCTTCTTCCGAAACTACATTAGCTGAGCATCCTGAATCGATCACAAACCGACAGACTTTGCTTTTGACCGTGCAAGTTGAGCTGAATAGAGATGTCTGTTGCCATGCTTCGTCTGTTTTAGGTGCAAAACAATTTCTGCGTAGCATAAGTAAGGTGCATGTATCCCCGTGAACCTGGTCTTCCTCCACATCATCGAATTGCCCATCTATTGTGTTATAAATGGGATCACCGTTGACTTCTTTGTCACTTGCCAGTAATCCACGTTTACTTTTATGAGGGCATGCTGTCTGGATGTGACCTCATTCGCCGCAGGTAAAACAGCGCAATGCGTTGGGGCGAGAAGGACGCGCCTCCTTGATCGGTTCATCAGGTTCAGTCGAGCGGTTAGCTGTTTGAGTCCCTGTTGTCGTGTCTGTGGTAGAGCTGTCGTTGCCCACGGTTGCTGTGTTGCGGTTACGGGTTGTTCCAGACCATTGATTCGCCGTAAAACGAGATTGTTGCTCCACCAATAATGCTCGTTGTCGTGCCTCTGACACCGAACAAGGGTCAAATTGGTGCAACATAGTCTGTAATTGCGGTCTTAGTCCTGCGATGAATCGTGCCACTAGTTGATCTTCTGAATCGTGTATGTCCACACGAGTTAAATCTGATAAAACTCAGTCGAGTAATCTTCAACGGATCGCGTACCTTGACGAATGTTGTGGAACTTTTGAAACAACAAACGTTCAAAGTTATATGGAATGAATGTTTTCCTCACATGTTTCTTGAGCTTATCCCATGATGTAATTTTCTCTTTCCCTCGTCGAGTGCGCGGGATTTTGAGTTGATTCCACCATGAAGCAGCGTGACCACGGAATCGCGTGGTAACCAGAGGTACTTGTTTGTTTGCTTGGACGTCTTTAAATTCCAAGAATACATCAACGGATACGAACCAATCAAGTAGGTCTTCAGGTTGCGATCCACCCTTGAATTCTGGGATCTCAAGTTTAATCCCTGAGCTCCAACGTGATTCATCGTTATGTCGTTCTTGTCGTCCTCGACCCTGCTGTTGCTGTTGATTATTAACGTTATCTCTGAAAGGGTTGTCTCCATCGGAGCCGTCGCCAATATCTTCAAAAAAAAGGGTTATGGTGGCGTTGATGGCGTGGAGGGGGAGCGGCGTTGACTTGTGCTGCGTTTGCCTGAGCGTTGGCGGCGAAACCGGCTTGTACTCCTGCTTGGACTCCGGCCTGAATTGCCTCAGCCATCGTACGTCGCATATTGTCTTGAAAATTCTCTTGAAAGTCTTCCAGGAATTGTTGCATCTGTGTCCATTCGTTTGGACGGGGAGCCATTGAAATCGAAGATCGAAGACACGAATAGAATCGTAATAAAAGGTCTCTGATACCAACTGACGGAGCGGAAGTACCGTTAGTAACCGATAATGCAAAGGTAACGTTGAATTCTGCGAATGCCCGTTAACTTGTCTTCTTAAGTCCGTTGAATTCTCAAAGAATGCCCGGAAAATAAGGATCAAGAGTTGTGTAAAACAAAGCTCTAAGTTTTATAAAATCAAATATCCAAGTTAATTAAAAAGCAACAGAGAAGTTCTCTATATATAGGCTCGTATAAGAGTCATATATTCCTAAACACAAAGCATAATGGAAATAAGTAAAGCCAACTAGAAAAAGGAACTTAAGAGAAAAGGAAATCAAAAACTGAATGGTAATAGGAAGTATGCTGCTCAGCTATTAACTTCATCAATTATTTGATTTTAATCATTACATAGTGTCACAAAAGACAAGAGAATGCCACTAAAAAAAAATGCATATAGTAGAAAACTATGGGGTCAAACACATTCAAAGAATTATTCTCAAGACTTAGTTAGACGAGAGGCCCATAAGAAAAAGCCATGAAGTCTCATTCTTTCCACTTCTCATGCCACAATCTGCTGCTTCTCATGGTCTATATACATTTGCTCTCCCCAAAACGGCAACTTAAACGTGTTCCTCTCAGGTGCACTCTCTTTCACCAATGAGTTCACCCATGACACATCTGGCTCATCACTGTAGTCTCTTACAGGACACGACACATTGTTGTTACTATAGTTGTTGTTGTCTCCGTTTATACCAAATGAGGCACTTCTCCTCATCTTGTTCATCTCCTCTCTTTGCATCCCCCACTCAAGCTTCCCATTCGGTGATCCCCACTCCGAGACATTCAAAGAAGCTACCGGAGCTGGCTTGAAACTCAAGCTGCGTCTAGCAAACGCTGAGGATCTTGCGTTCATCACCGCAGCTGCCATAGCTGCTGAAGACTCGAACCCATGTGAAGGCGGTTGCCTCACAGGGGAAGAAGGGTACTGGTTCCTCCTTGGAGACTGAACTTGCATCACCGAAGAAGAATCAAACGAACCACGAAACCCTAGCTCCATCCCCATGTCTCTAGCACTCAAACTTGACTTCAATCTACTACCGTTAAGCTGTAACGGTGGTGGTGTAAGACTATCAACTCTGTTCTGCCATAAACCACCGTTTCTTGGAGACATCTCAGGAGACTGATTAGACGATCTCGGTGAAACCATTGCTGAGCCAGTAGAAGCATTAACAGCTCTCAGCTCATCCCTTCTATGAGCAAAGAAACAAACCTTCCTTGCACAACACGTCTCATCTTTACAAAGCCGTGTCTTATACTGAGCAGGGTGAAGCCAAGACTCGAAAACACCGTGCGCATACTCGCATGAATCTCCTTTAGGACAAGACCCTTTACGAAACTCAGGACAAGGGACACAGGTGTAAGGATACTTCCTCGGATCTCTCCTCCTCGCGTTCTCACCAGGATGAACAAAAGGACACTCGGTCCAGTCGTGTGAGTAAGCCCTAGAACATGGCTTGACCTTGAAGCTAAACATTCTGAACTCGTCTGTTCCATACACACCTTCGTTGATATCAGGAAGGGACGCATCTGCTGGATACTTACTCACAACACTCTTCACTTCCTCTTCTTCTAAACTAATTCCGGTTAACAAAAACTCAACCGCTTTTCTAGTCTGGTTAGGTATAAACCGAGAAGCTCGAACCAATAGATCAACCGGTTTGTTTCCGTTAGCGTCAAGGCAGTTAGGTGAAGCAGAGGCATCAAGCAAGATCTTGATGACTTTGACGATAGAGACAGAACAGGCGGAAACAGCACAGTGAAGAGCAGTGATTTTCTCCTCGTCGCTTGAAACTCTGTTCATGTCTGATTTTCCGGTGGAAATTATGTAAGTTAGAACTTCGATGCTTCCGTACATAGCAGCAACCATGAGAGGTGTTCTTTCTTGGTAACCCATCTTCTTTGACCCGACCCGTTTGCAGTACCAAAAGCCAGGTTTATTGATGTCCAGGGAATTCTCCTCGGTTTGTCTCTTGAATGATGCAAGATCGTCGCAGGCTGCGTGTTCAAGAAGAGACATGGTGGCGTCAACACCTTCTAACTTCGTCCTCGTGAGGTCAGCTTCTGTTAAGGTGGTTCTTGAAGAGCAGAGGTTGCTTTTTGAGCGGCACATCTTTTCTGTGAGGTTCAAAAGTGATCAACAAAACGTAAGGAGCAAGAAACAAGAAGATCACTATCAAAGGAAGAGAAACAGAAAACGCAAGCTATAGATTTTGATGCTTTGATTCTTTATACTAAAAGTTTTAAGAAAAACTCAATACAGGAATAAGATAATCTCTATTGATTCAAGCTAAGCCATACAAAAGCTGAAGGTTTGAACAGAGGAAGCATTAAATATGAAATAATCTTTATACAAAAAGCAAAAGAAAAGGAGAAAAGAATCTATTCAGGAGAGGGGAAGTTACATACCTAGAGAAGAAGATATAGCTTTGCAGGGTTTAGAGAAAGAGTAGAAGAAGTGGTTTGGGTTTCTGAAGAAGAAAGGATTGTTAGAGAGATATGTATAGGCTCCTTTTAAAAGAATGCTTCTTAGAAAGCTTCGTTGCGAAGAAGCAGAAGAAGAGAGGAAGTTGCCCTCTTTCTTGGTCTCCTTTTCTTTGATTTTTATATATTTTTTTAATGTTTTGTTTTGTTTCTTCTACTCGTCATCATGGAAATGGTTTAGGTCAAAAGTCAAAACTGGGGAACTTTTAAAAGGTGAGGATGTCGCTGTATTGCTGACTGTTTCTACTGAAATTTGTATTTTATTTGCATAAATATTATAATATCACCTCCTATCTCATTGATTTTGTCAAAATGTCTTTTATAATGATCAAAAGCAAGTTTCTTTAGGGGAATAAATAAACAATGACAGTCACATTCTAACTTTTTTATAGAAAAAGTCTCATCCGGGTGAATTTATTGTTTCTAGATAACATGATTGAAACAAGTGCTGGTTCTTGGGGTATAAAACAAGTGCTAGTTTTGTATGTTAGACCTACTAACTTTCTTAGCCAATTAATTGTTTTGATTACAGAAAATATTAAAAATCTCAAAGGGAAATAACCTAACCCATCCACTAAATTCAGTGGCTCCTATTAAAAATATCCATTCCCAATACATTAGTTGTGTGTTGGTTACAAAACTTGGAAATTAGTTGAGGCTACAAAAAAAACTTGAATTACAAAACAGTTAAATATATCTGGACAGTTGACCAAAAAAGGTATATATGGACAAGATAGTTTAATTTTATAAGACATTCAGTTATTTTTGTCTGACCAAATCCACTATTATAAGTTTCATCTGCATGACTCTTTATGGAAATGCATGGGTGAGTGTGTGCAGAAATAGATCCTTCGATATTAAGTAAAAAAAGTGTATTAAATAAATAAAATTAAAGCGCCATTAATACATGTTGATGATAGATGGTAAATGGAGTTGGGATGTATAACTCTTCCACACCCGTGTGGGTATGTACCTGTGCGCTATAGCACGCGCTTTCATTAGCCTGTGGGGACTACTGCTAATTTACAATAATTTGATTTTGGTTTTAACTGGCTTTGAATAGAATATATTCTGAAAACACGCATCCATATCTTCAAAGAAAAAATACAAGGTCGTTGCCCAAAAAAAAATACAAGATCGAAAGACTAAACAATCGTTAAACAGAGATCAAACTTTTATGTCAATTTGATACGCTTGTCTCAGGGTTTTTCAATTTCTATATAGTTATATGTTACTTATGAACAAAGAGATCAAACTTGTTGTTGGTTAATGGTCTTCTAGTAGGAGACTACGACTTGTAATAGAGTAATCAATGGTAAAGCAAGTGAGGAACACGCCTTGAAAAGCTTATGGCACGAGAAAGAAAGTGAAACACGCCTTCTCTTCGTTGAAGTTTGGGTGGGCGACAGAAAATGTCTTCACTTGGCCGCCCTATTTCATTTTTTCTCTTATTAAACCAAATACCTTTAACTTTCTCTTTTAATAACTTTTTATAATACCCACTTAGCTTTTCTAGTTTTATTTATTTAATTTAGTATTGGACTAGTCACACAAAACATAATCGATAACCGTCACTTCAAAGAGCTTGGAAGTTTTCAATCATACTCAGTATATGAGATCATTATCAGTAAATACTATATTACCAATTAGATTGACATGTATTATCTAAAGATAATCTAGCTATTAATGAATGAAATGCAAAACATACTGACTATCTTTCAGTTACATGCTTATTTTTCTCGCCACAAAAAAGCAATGTCATGCTAACCAAGTTGGGTGATATAAACGCTGATAAGTAAAGAAAGTTTGAAGAGAACTTGGAAAATGACTTTGATATGCTTCTTCTGGTCAAACTTGATTCTTTACTAATCTTTTATATGTATATGGTCAAGTCAATTGATAGTAAAATTATTATAACAATTCTCTTTTTTTTTTGTGCCTCCAAATATTTCCCAAACTCATCAGCAAATTATATCCGATTGTAGACCGAGTCATCCCATGATGTATAATATTTATGAAATATATAAGCAAACAACTATTAATTTACAGAAACTTATACATACAAACAAAGACACGACTCACTCACAACTACATTATATATCATCACAACACACATTATACTAGTATAGCAACACAAAAGGACAACAACACCTATAACTAACTCTACCTTATCTTATACACTCCCCAAATAAAACTCACAACTACCATTTAACCTACTGAGATTTTACAAGGAACAAGTCCATTTCATTCTCACTGAAAACGTCAAGATCTTGACCAACCAGTTTTACTACACAACTAGAAGTGATTTTATACCTTTCTTTAACATGCAAGAACACTCGAGCCATTACTTTCTCCATCATCTCTTCGATGATATCTTCTCTACTGTTTGAGAAATAAACAGCTGCTAGTAATCGTTCCATGATCTTAAGGTCAATCTCCAGCAAACAATCTGATCTCACACACTTAGCAAATATTTCTTTCAAACTCTTTTTGATTCTTTCTGCTAATTCTTCAAAGTCAAAAGGCTTAAAAGGAACCTCAATGAGACTGTCGTGTTTCTTCAAATTCACTAACCAAAGCTTTGAGTTCTCTTCAGTATCGGTTTCGGTTTCTTGCGCCGGAAGGTTCAGATCAAGAACTCCATTAGCTGTTCTGTTCAACCTTTTCCCCTTCTCTACAGTGTCTCTCAACCCTAGCTTCCTCTTTTTCTCCGAGTTTAGACAAAACACAGTTTCAATCAATATCGCCACTTGCCTGCCTTTTACTCTCAAGAGTTTCTCTTCAGAATAAGTGGTTCTTGTTCCAGAATCTTCTACTGAAGATGAAGTCATAACAAAAGTTGTGTTACCTATACCAACTTCTCTCCCATGCGAATCCATAAACTTTCCAGTTTCAATAGCCTTAGACAAGCTTACCTGCAGCTTCTCATCAGCCTTGTCAATGTTCTCAAGGAACACTACACAGAAAGGGTTCCTACACAACACTTCAAAGATATGATCCACCATTGTCCTCCCTCTCAGCCCCATCACATCATCACAACCGTTTATTCCATGCTCAGCAACATCAAGATCAACGGGCATGAATCTATGTTCACTTTGATACACAATCTCAGCAAGCACAAGCGACATTCTCCTCTTTCCTACGGTATCAGACCCAACTAAATTGAGCCAGACATCTCTTCTAGTGCTAGTCTTAGGCGGTTGTGATAATGCGCAGCTGATAACCCTAGCTGCCTCATCTTGCCCTGAAACCCTATTGGTTAATCTGTGGTATATAATCTTGAAGCTCTCTGCGTTGAGATCCCTTGGATTATCCAAGCAAGAGGAGGACACAGACCGTGTCTTGAGACCAAATCCTGTGGTGACCGGGGACATCCTCAGATTCAGATCAGTTGTGACTGATTTAGCTGAACCGGTTGATGCAGAAGCACTGCTTGGCGACTTATTACCAAAAACTGACTCCAACCCTTCTTTGGTCTGCACTGAGGAGACATAAATACACGTTGAAATTAACATAACATAGTGTAATAACGTAATCAACCGAGGAAGCTTGTAGTCCAAGAAACGTGCTTTGACGAGAAGAGAAAAGTAGACGGACCTTGGAATCAGATTTTTGGTTTGAATCGATTATTGTGGTCATCTGCAACCAAGGTGGTAAGGTAGATTGGGTCTGATCGGATATGGAAGAAACCGGTTTGGTGATTTCCTTGTTATAACCGGAGAAGGGTAGTTTCAGGTCAGGAGTTGAGAAGAATCCACCAAATGGAACAAACGATCCCATCAAACTGTATTTAATTATAACACGTCAACATCATCAAAGGCAAAGGCAAAGGCACATAGAAAACAAAAGGCAAATACACTCATAAAGGAATCTAGAAGTCAAACGTATATCAGTGGTCTGTTTCTACATTCAGATGACTCTGTTCTTACTGCGTTTATATTTACATGTTAACCCACTGTATTTCCTATTAAACAAAACCTTTTAGTGCTTCTATTAACAATTTAACATCATTCAGAAATTGTGAGCCCAAACGTTAAAACACAAGAAATAAAGAAAAAGCTAACTTTAGTAAGAAATAAAGAAAAAGCTAACTTTAGTAAGAAATTCCTTCATGACAAAAAAAAGTAATTATAAACACTAAAACTGTTTTTCCCACTCAAACTAGTTATGCTTAATATACATATGTCAGCCTGGGTTACAAAATCTTATTGTTGGTTACCAAATTAGTTAAGAATGTTTAGTAGGTAACATAGCAGATTAAACTGTTTTAGATGTGAGTATTAACATGTTCTATTATATAACAAAATACTCGTAAAAAAGTTAATCAAGCGATTGATCTTCAACCACATTAGTTCAAACTTTGAATACAATCATACAATTAAGATACACTTATAAACCACAGTGCTATGTATGTTTCGATAATTTAAATTTATGATAGTGGAAATACCTAAGGCTAAAAGATATATATGTACTACTACTGGCTAAGTAAACTGACAACAGCATGATAAGAAACTGTCACTAACGACCGTTTGGTGTCATCAAAAGAAGCGTTTAACGATCTGAAACGCGCGCGAAAGAGGAATAGTAATTTTTTTTTTCCAACGATGATTAGTAATAAAAACCTGGATTTGTGGTGAGGCGAACAAGACCTAAGAGTAGTGGTGATGGTGAGTAACTGCAAGTCCCAGTCTTTCTCCACGTTGGGAAACTTCCTCACCATCTTCTCATAAACGTCGTTGCTCGCCGTCGCTCCGATCAACCACACTCTCTTCCCGCATCTCCGCAACAACTCCGAAACCTTACTCACGATGTAACTAGCCGCCGACACGTCTCCTTCACCGTCGGTGAAAACCCTCAAGTCTCCGTAGTTCACGACTAAACCAGGTCCTGAGCCTTGCTCAGCCACCTTCCTTAGATCGTTAAACCTAGCGTCGGTGAACGTTTTATTAAACTTGACTTTTATTTGGTCGGATACTTCTGAACCGATGTTAACCGCAATTAAACCGTCGCTTCGGTTTTCTAGCGAGTTTAAGTAATCGGTTAATACACTGTAAGCCGATACACCCACAAGCAGAGGATTCCTCTCTTTTTCCCTCGTGAAAACATCGTTAATCCTCCGGTGATCAGAAGAATCTCCGGTTATATCCCGGTTCGGGACACTGAAACCCCATCGAACCGGATTCAATTCCGGTTCAGTATGATTCCCGGTTCCGTTACAAAGAAACAGAGGCTGTTGCTGTCCACGAGGAGACGAATAACGAAACAGATGAGGGATTGGTCGGATAATCGAAAGCTTTAACTCAGAGCTCCGAAAACCCGCTTCACCAAAAACCCGACTCACAACCGGATCATCCAAAATCGATAAAACCAGCTGACGAAGCTCCACCTTCACGCAAGAGAGTGAGTTCTGATTACTCTGAGACATCTCTTGGTACAATCTGAAACTCTCGGGGAGACGACGCTGGTGAGCTTGAGACCGTTTTATCGCAGCCATGAGAGAGTTCGAGACAGGCGGGTCATCGGACCCGGGTTGTTGTTGTTGATGACCCGATTGGATCCGGTCTAAAGAAACGCTGAGGCAGAGATCTAGAGCTTTGAACTGGAGACGAGGAGAGTAAGCTGAGTTTCGGACACGAGCGCATGCGTCACGTAAAGGGGACGTTGGAAGAGAGAGTAAAGCGGAGACGGCGTGAAGCGACGTCGTTTGAGAGTGGCCACGTCGACGCGCCACGTTCACGGCTTCTTCTAGCACGTAGGATGATTCCGTTGTTAAGCATTGCTTCGCTACGTTCACCGCCGTTGGCATCGCCGGCGATCATATATATATATATAGATATTTTTTTTTTAACAAATTTAGATTTTTTTTCTGAAAAAAGGAAATTAAATGCGAAAATTCGGAAGTCTGAGGTAAATTATTTTACTATTTGAATTTTCTTTTGGAGTTGTAATAAGAAAATGTTAATGGGGGAAATAAATTAATTTATGGAAGGAGAAGAGAGGAAGGAAGATACACTGTTGGGTCGAGTGGAACATAGAGGTGGGACCCAGACACGAGGGGGTAGGGAAAGTGAGAGTTTGGAATCAAACAGAAACAGGTGGTGACTGGTGCTAGATACTCAGATTCTTGTTGCTTGTCTTTAAGATCATTCCCTTTTTTTTTTAATTGCCGTCTTCAAGTCAAATAATATTTTTATTCTTTATACACCACATATTAAATATCTACAAAATACAATATCTACCAGAGATACTCGCAACTCATACGATGTGACTGGCTATTTTAAAATTGTATTTAACCCTCTACTTTTTTCAGTTTATGTCTTTTTGGCTTTGCAACCCAATAAGAACAAAAATATATTAGCTTCGACATTTTATTTGGAATTTGGATTAACAGATATTCGTTGTTACTCTCTTTAGCAAAACAAATATACTTCCATTCCAATTTACAATTAGTCTGTTGCTCAAAAAAGTTACAATTAGTGTATATTAGTGTATTCAGGTTTACAAAATCAAACACTAAGCTAAAATTGTAAAAGTAGTTTAATCAGAGTTCATCAGGATTTTAGGGGTCTAAAATGTTGTTTTAACGATTTCAAAAAAAAAAAAATTTGTTAGATTTGGGAACTTAAATTTTGTTTTTCCAGAATGTTTCATCCGTCTTGGCTATGACCAGTCCTATTAGAGTCAGCGGCAGTAGAAGTTCTCTTTTACTGTATTATGTCAGCGGAAAAAGATATAAAATACAACGATGTAACATGAAAGAGGAATCCAATAATATTTATTACCGAAAGATGTATGAAAGATCGGTGTCGGTTCTGTCAGGGAAAAATAAAACAAGGGATACGATCATATGACTTTATGAAATTAATAAGAAGGTGTTATTGGTTTGTATATTTTAGTGGATTTGAAAATACAAATCAAATATAGTGTTATTGGTTCTATGATTTTAAAATCTATATTCAAATTCATTGTTATTGGTTCTATGATTTTAAAATCTATATTCAAATTCACTGTTATTGGTTCTATGATTTTAAAAAAGATTTTAAAATCAAGTGTTATTCAATAATNTAAGAAGGTGTTATTGGTTTGTATATTTTAGTGGATTTGAAAATACAAATCAAATATAGTGTTATTGGTTCTATGATTTTAAAATCTATATTCAAATTCATTGTTATTGGTTCTATGATTTTAAAATCTATATTCAAATTCACTGTTATTGGTTCTATGATTTTAAAAAAGATTTTAAAATCAAGTGTTATTCAATAATAATGATTTGCTTAAGGATTTGATTTAAAATTAGATTTGAGTGGATTTATGAGTTAAAAATACAAAGAATCAAATATTGAGTTGAACCTTGTTTTTTTGATAGATATGTATTATTTGTTTTCTTAATATTTTTTTCTGGTCCAATTTTTATGTACACATTGTCTATGTTTACCTAATAACTATAAGAAAATACTGATATGAGAGTCTGAGACAACCATCATGTTTCACCATCTCTATGTTATCTTAACGAGTACGTAGTAGTACAACATATAATTGTATTAATCAACTATCTATAGCCTAGCTTTACGTACACGCAGATGTTAATATAAAAATTTACCAAAAAAAAATTCATCATAAAAGCTTTGGTCTTCAAGAGTTTTCTGGAGATTCTATTCCATAAAATGAAAAGAGCTGTTTAACCATCATCATGTTTTTCTGAAGAATGTTATCGAAAGAATTTTTGATATATACAAATCTCAATTTTTAATTTTTAAATGTGCATCATCTTTTCCTTATAAGACACAAACGAATAGAATATTTGTGTGGGCTTGTTTACGTAGTTTTCTTCGAAAGTTCTAACGAACGGATAATTTTTCTGAATAAAAAAGTTCCGATAACGAAAAAGATTTTAAGGAAGTTAATAACAAGGGTAAAGAAATTCTTGGAACTGAAGATCAACAAAGAAAACATGTCAATCAAGTGAAAATGGCAATAACAACAAATATGTGATGAATTTTATGTTACCATAATAACATATGATATAGAAAATGATAAAACATACGTTGTAGTTTTATATATATTTTATTTTGTTACAAATTTAAGCTTATCACAAATCCATTTGACAGATTTATAAGAATTCAATTATTTTGATTTGGAAATCTATTTCATTGATTCTAAAATCTACTTATTTGATTCTAAAATGTGTGGATTTGTCAAAAATTTNCCATAATAACATATGATATAGAAAATGATAAAACATACGTTGTAGTTTTATATATATTTTATTTTGTTACAAATTTAAGCTTATCACAAATCCATTTGACAGATTTATAAGAATTCAATTATTTTGATTTGGAAATCTATTTCATTGATTCTAAAATCTACTTATTTGATTCTAAAATGTGTGGATTTGTCAAAAATTTTAAAATCCAAGAAGGATTTCTGAATCTATAAAATACTAGAACCAATAACCCCCACTAAGAAAAGAAAGTGACACAAACGATTGCAATAAAAGGAGCAAAGAAAGGTCGCTTTGCCTTATAAAGTTTGAAAGAGACAAATGAGAAGCATGAACCCCTTTTTTCACCACATACTTCACCTTTCATCACTTTCTCTATCCCTTTCTTTTTTTATTTCCTTCTCCACAATGTTTTGAATATTAGAAAAGAATTTGCAAATTCATCTGTATCATCTTTTGTTTTCCATATGTTATATGCGTTTCTGCTATTCCTTGGGTACGATATGACCTGATTAATCTTTGCATGAGCATGTTTCTCAAAGAACTTCGATGTAATAAATGTTTAATTACTACTTCATCTATTTTATTTTACTTGTTTTAAAGGTTATACATCATGAAATAAAACTCATTTAACCCCTATGAAAAATTGTTGTATTTGTGATTGATCACAAATTTCAAACAACATCAAATTTTTTATTTAGAATAATAAGAACATCATTTATTTTACAAAAAATATTTTTAAACATCAAACAAATTAAAACAGAGAGAGTAGTAACTGTTATATTAGTGGAGATACTTTTTGTGTTAGCAATGTATTACATACTTTTTATTGGGATTAATCTAACAGTTGGTAGAAGTATCATTATTCTATGTTATAGTAGATAAGTATTAACAAAAGTTTAGCATGTTTACATGATATTTACAGCTTAAAAAAGAGAGTAAACATGACGGGAAAAGGTTTATCTCAATCTCAAGTTTACGCGTCGTGCTTATTAGTTTTTAAACTTTGTTGTAATGTATATTTTTACTTAACTAACCAAAAATTTTAAATGCTACATGAACTTTACGCTTCATATTTTTTGATTACCAAATTTTATAATAGTGTATATTCATGTTTAACTAAATAAAAATTTTAAAATACTACATGAACTTTCTATCGTACTTATATATATATATATATTTATATTGACTGTCAAAGGTGTTACTCATCCGATATATATCAAACAACATCATTTTTGATAAATTCTATAAAAATAAAAAAATTAAAATAATTGATGAACTTTCAAAAAATGTTTGTCCATCAGTGTGAGAATTCGAATTTCCTAATTAATTTTAATTTATCGAAAATGACGTTGTTTTGATAAATTAACGGTTGGGTAACAACTTCGACATTCACTAAATATATATAAGCACGATTTTGAGAGTTCATCTAATGTTTTTAAACTTTTGTTTTACAGAATTTATCCAAAATAATATCATTTTGATAAATAACAGATGAGAAACACCTTTGATGATCAATATATATAAGCATGATTTTGAGAATTCATATAGTATTTTTGAATGTTTGTTTGATTTAGAATGAAATATACACTATTATAAATTTTGGAAATGAAAAGGCATAATACGTAAAGTTCATATAAGATTTTTGAATTTCTGTTAAATTCAATATGGAATATATACTATTTCAAAATTCAAGAAGAAAGACTATAAGTAAACTTCAGGTTGAAATTTTCAATTTTTCTTTAACATGATCTGTGTGAACCAACCACATAGATGATAGATTGATAGATGCAGATGGTCAAGGTGTCATCTCCTGACTCGCTTAAGCCAATGGCCTATGAGCTTCCGACAACTATCTATGTCTAAATATTATATATGACATAATTTTCGATCTAAATATTGATATTTAACATCCTCAGAAAACAATTTAAAGAATATTTTAGCTTTACCTTTTTCCCCCATCAAATATTGGCACGAATGAGAATCATTCATTCGAAGATCTATCACTGATTGGAATATTTTCCTTTTTTCTTTGTAGGTACATTTTTGTTTTCTTTGAATAGTCAAGTCACACACGTAATTCACAATTATAGAGTAAATTCTCATCAAACTTCCCTAAAAGTTGGGGTGGGCAAAAAACCCAAACCAAACCGATCCAACCCGATCCAACCGAACTTAAACTGATCCAAACTGAACCAAAATATATGTCTAAACTATTTGATTCAAGATTTTAGCAACCCAAATAGTTCGGTTTGGTTTGATTTTAAACCGAACCAAACCGAAAAACCGAAGTGTTTTTTAATTAGATTAAGTAAATATAGTAATAATATTAGAGTTAATATATTCAACCATTTAACTTAAATAATTAATAATTTTATACATTTTACTTCTAAATGAATAGAATAAACACAACTAAAAATATGAATCTATACATTAACATAAAAACCGAATACTTTTATGATTTTATATTAAGTTTGAAGATAATAATATAAATTATTGAATTATATCTTTTACATATTTATTTTAATATTGGGTTTTACGTTTAAATATAGAGAAAACAATGATTAGTGTCAAATGATGATTTA